AAAAATCATCAAAATACCGAGTTAATATACCCGATTTGGAGAGGTATAAAAATTGGATGTGGGTCAATTGTGCAATGGTTTTACTAATATCCTCAGCGATAAATTTCAAAATGAACGGTTTGAGGACTTTTTGTTGTCAAAAAAGTGAAAATTTTTCCAACAATTCCAAATTTCGAAGCTTAATAAACCTTTTTCCATTTGATCCTCCACTGTGTCCATCCGTCCAGACATACAGACCTACATACAAACACCCTCTATTTATGTACATCATTTTGTGGGTGTTAACTTACTAATAAAATGAAATAGAAATGAGATAAGCAAAAAAAAAAAACAAAAAAAAAAAAAACATCTACAACAACAAAAACACCAAATCTCACACATAAAATGAAGAAGTTTGTAAAAATGTTGTATTTGTTGTTGTTGCTGCTTTTGCTGTTGAATTGAATTCGTTACAAATTGAATTGCCGGCAAGCATCCTTTTTAATGTTCCAAAGAAAAGCCAGCAAGACAAAGAGAGAGATATGGAAGCAGAGAGTCTCACAACAACAAAGATGAAAAACAACAACAACAAACAAGAAGTGTGAGTGTGTGTGTGTGTGTGAAAAGAAAACTCCCAAAGCTATTGAAAACATTCATATAAAAGTAAAATATCATGTTACAATTGTCGTTTTCTTCAGTTCCTCGGATGATGATGATGCTTGGATTTTTTTGGATACTTCTATTTGTTTTTGGGAGGGAATGCCAAATTTGGGAGGGGGAGTTTGGGTAAGAGTTGTGAAATATCTAATGCCTTAACCAAGAAAATGGGGGGAAATCTTTTTATACATGTTTTCATACAAGAAATCCCATCATCATCATTAGGGAGCAGAATATTTTCGTTTTTTTTTTTTTCTTTCTTCCCAGAGAACAGAGCAGAGGGAGACGGGTATTTGAAGAACGAACATATGGTCATGCTTGTTTGAGTCTTGATTTTTCGTTGTACGTTCTTTATTTTTCCTCCTTCTTTCAATTGCTAAAATCGCAGTTGATTAGGGGAGGGGTAGGAGAAGAGGGGTACTTTGGTAATTCAAGGGGTTGTTTGTCGCCCAAACAAAAGCCTGTAAATTAGTCTACCTAATGACCGTAACAACTGGGGATTCGTATCATGTCATCATTGTTGGCATTGGCCGGTAATGATGTTAAAATTACAAATCAAATGTTAAATTGAAGCTAATGCCTAACATCACATAAGAATCATAAGAAAGGACACACACAGATTACGGAATTACGTTGAAGATATGTGTAATTTCAATCTTGTGGTTGGAATATTGAAGAGATTATGGGTTTATTTTTCGATTTCAGAATACAAATTGAAAACTGTGGCATACCTTTTTTAAGTATTAAATTATTCTAACAACAAATATGATATGAAAATGGGTATCTCTACTTAGATGACTTTTCCAAAAAAATAGTTTCTAAATGTCTTCTATAGAAGAAGCCCCGCTAAAGTACAGATATTTTAAAAGTCTTCTTCAGACGAAGAATTTTTAAAAATATCTTTTTACGGCTTTATAAAGAAGAAGAAATCCCTGACTAGTAAAGGTTTTCCAAAGAATATAGAGAATTCTTTTAATATGCATTCTATAAAAGAACTCTTAAAAAGATGCTCTTAAAATTACTTTTAAAGAAATACAATTTTTTACGATCTTCTTTATTGAAAATACTTCTGACAGGTCTTCCTAACATGAATATCTTCAACGGGCTCTATATAGAAGAAGACCTTTATATGGTCTCCCATGAAAGATAACCTTTTTGAGTTATTCTATATTCCGGCTAAAGGCTCAACTTCCTTCTAAGGGCCTTTAAAAGCAGAATGTTTTCTATTACTTTTTATTCTTTTTTTTTTTTTTTTTTTTGTAGAGAAAAGTTTTTTCTACGGTCTCCTAGTAAAAGAAGGGTCTTGTGCGGGAATGGGGATGAAGAGACTTCCCTTCGAGGGTCTTCTATAGATAGAAGGACTTTCGAAGGCCGCCAAAAAGAGAAGGTCTTTCCAGAGTCTTTATTTAGAGAAGGCCTTTTGAGCGTTTTGTATAGATCGGAATATCTTCTATGGACCCTATATAGGAGAAGATCTTTAGATAGTCTCCCATGGAAAATAACATTTTTGAGTTATACTATATTCCGGCTAAAGGTCTTACTTCCTGCTAAAGGCCTTCAAAGAACGATTGTTTTTTTTTTTTTTTTTTTTTTTTTGTAAGAAAAAAAATGTTTACAGGTGTTTTATGGCTGTCTGTGGACGGAGGTCTGAGGTCTGCTAGTAAAAGAAGGTTTATCGAAAAACTTTTGCTGAAGGCCTTGTATAGAGATGATGTTTTCCGGGGGACTTCTTTAAAAAAACTCTTCGAAGGTTTTCTACGGAGTGACTAACTTTCGAGGGTCTTGTACGGGGACAGGGATGAAGAGAAGGTAGTCTCTTCTTAGAGAGTGTTCTACTGAGAGATAGCCTTTCAAAGGTCTCCTGGAGAAAAAGACCCTTCGAAGTCCTTCTGTAAAGTGAAGGAGTTACGAGAGCGTTCATTGAGAGAAGCCTATTTGAAGGTTGCCTATAGAGAGAAGACTTTTTCAAGATATTCTATACAGAGCAAATCTTTTAAAAGTCCTCTATAGAGGGAAGACCTTTCGAAGTCTTCTATAGAGAGAAATTAGTCGAGAAAAATCTTCTGTAAAAATAGAATTTCTAGAGAGAAATGTCCATAGATGGTCTTCTATGGACCCTTGGAAGTTCTACTGTATAGGGAATTCCTTTCGAACCACTAGTCTACATGGAAAACGGAGGACTTTCTTTCAGAAGCAGTCTATTGAGAGATAGGTTTTCAAAGGTCCCCTGGAGAAAAAGGCCCTTCGAAGTCCTTCTGTAAAGTGAAGCACTTTCGAGAGCCTTCATTGAGAGAAGCATATTTGAAGGTTTCCTATAGAGAGAAGATTTTTTCAAGATATTCTATACAAAGTAAATCTTTCAAAAGTCCTCTATAGAGGGAAGACCTTTCGAAGTCTTCTATATAGAAAAAAATGTCAAGAAATCTTCTGTAAAAATAGAATTTCTAGAGAGAAATATCCATAGATGGTCTTCTATGGACCCATGGAAGTTCTACTGTATAGAGAATTCCTTTCGAACCACTAGTCTACACGGAAAACAGAAGACTTTCTTTTAGAAGCAGTCTTCTAGAGAAGATCTTCCGCAAAGTGGTGATCATTCGAAGTTTTGCCGAGAGAAGACCTTTCGACGGTCTTCTGTAGAGAGAATGACTTTCGAAGGTTTCCTTGGGAAAAATGTCCTTCGAAGGTCTTCTATACAGAAAATATGTCTTCTATAGACTTTGATAGGGAGAAGGGCTTTCAAGGTTTTCTATAGAGAGAGGACGCTTTAAGGAAAAAACTGCTTTAGAAGATCTCCTTGAGAAAATATGACTTCTGAAGGCCATCTATAAAGAGAACGTCTTTTGAGGGACGAAGAAGATCTCCTAAGGAAGAAACTCTTTTCAATAAGCGAAGATGACCTCCAAAAGGTATCCTACAGAAGATGACCTTCAAAAGGTCTCCACGGTTTTCTCCACAAAGCGTCCTTTTAACAGTTTTCCATAGAAAAATCCGAAAGTACTCCGCAGAAGAAGGCTTACCAGGTAACGGTCTTGTTTAGAGCTTCAGACCCAAGTGGAGGTTTTCTTCGGGAGTAGACTGTATAAATGTATTCTTCGAAGAGCAGACCAGTCTTAATAGAAAACGACATCGCCTACTTTCAGAGGACGTTTTGGTTTTTTGTGAGATCTGATCTTCTATGACAAGACCTCCTGCTCTTCTACGAGAAGATCTTCTGGTCCCTTCTCTCTCTCTCTTTCTGATAATCTCGTGAACATGTGCTTTTTTAGTACAGCTTCTACGAGGAGACTTTCTAGTCTTCTGGGAAGACTTGTTGGCCTTCTCTGTAAATACCTTTTCGACTTTAATAAGAAGATCTTTCGGATTTCTGTGAGAACACCTGCATCTAGCAGGAGGGAAGACCTACAGTTTATTTTTAGAGAGGAGCTTTTCCTTGGATCATTTTTGGAGGAAATACCTCCTAAAGATTTTCTATAGAAAGAGGTCTTATTAAAGATCTTGTGGATATGGAAGATATTCTAATGTTGTTTATCGACAGAACAGTTTCCAAAGGTGATCTATAAACAGCAGACCTTTTCCGATTTTTTTAAAGGGTTTATTGTAAATAATAGACTGGCTGAAAAAATTTCATCAGATTAAAGGTGTCCTCAGCAAGCTTTGCTATAGTCAATAGACCTTCAGAAGATCTCCCATAGACAGAAGGTCATCCTGTTTGAATAGAAAAATTCTATGAGTCCTCTTTAACTGCAAGATTTTGGGAAAAGGTTCCATAGATAAGGGACCTTAACATGTTTGTTAAGAAAGAAGTCATTATGAGATCTTTCATATGAAGGAGTCATGTTTTGAGGTCTCTAAGCCGAATATATTTTCTTTGTTTTAAATATGAAATATATTTAGAGGTCTCCCAAAGATAGTTTGGCAGAAACATTTATACCGATACAGCTCTTAGCCCTCTGCGTAGCTGCCTCTCCTGCCTCATCCCTTTCAAAATATTTTTATTTTTACAACATTACCAAAATGTCACATTTTTGCTTCCATAAAAATATTCCAAGACATTTCACAGAAATTTTTAGCTGATGTTTAAGTGATGTTACATTTGCAGCTGCTTAAATATTTAGACCAACCCACATGCTACATATTAAGGACTTAAAAACCTCCTTGTACGATTATTGCTATTAGCTGCTTGTGCTAAGCCATAATCTTATTACCTGCTTTTATGATTTTAGTAAGACGAACTAAAACTCTTCTTGGAAAATAGGAAAAAAAAATCCAAAGGAAAATCGTAAAGGGCAGGACAATTAGATTTAGCAAACTCTGTCCTGCTTTCAGAGCAGGTAGGCGGAAATAAGCAAATAAATACAAGCGGAATGCTAAGGGCAAGCAACATTCGTAAAAACACACTCCCACCTACAGCAACGCTACTACTCAGCACGGAAGACAAAAATTAAGAGAAAAAGAAACCATGACCATTGAAGTATCAGTGCCGCCCACCAAGGATTTGGTCACCCGTGTCCTCAAGCAAGCTGGCCATGTGGGCTTCGACACCCTACCCGATCAGTTGGTGAATAAAAGTGTACAAAATGGCTTTGTTTTCAATGTCATGTGTATTGGAGAGACGGGATTGGGTAAGTCAACCCTAATGGACTCTCTGTTCAATACCAGTTTCGAATCGGTGGCCAGCCCCCATACCCTGCCCAATGTAAAGCTAAAAGCCAATACCTATGAGCTGCAAGAGAGCAATGTCCAGCTGAAACTGACCATATGCGATACGGTTGGCTTTGGTGATCAAATCAACAAGGAGAATTCCTTTAAGGCCGTGGTGGATTACATCGATGTACAATTCGAATCCTATCTGCAGGAGGAATTGAAAATCAACAGATCTTTGGTAAATTTCCATGATAGTCGCATACATGCCTGTCTGTATTTCCTGTGTCCCACGGGTCATGGTTTGAAATCTCTGGATTTGTTGTGCATGAAGCAACTGGATAGCAAAGTGAACATAATACCTATCATTGCCAAGGCGGATACGGTCTCCAAGGCAGAGCTACAACGTTTTAAGTCGAAAATCTTGGAAGAGTTGAGTAAAAATGGTGTAAACATTTATCGTTTCCCCACCGACGATGAAACCGTGGCCGATACCAACTCCACCATGAATGATCACATTCCCTTTGCCGTGGTGGGTAGTCGAGAATTTGTGAAGATTGGCAATAAACAAGTCCGCGCCCGTCAATATCCCTGGGGCACAGTGCAGGTGGAGAATGAGGTCCACTGTGACTTTGTAAAGCTGCGGGAAATGTTGATACGCACCAATATGGAAGATATGCGGGAGCAGACCCACCAAAAACACTACGCGTTGTATCGTCAAACTAGGCTACTGGAAATGGGTTTCTGTGATTTGGATAATGACAACAAACCCGTATCGTTCCAAGAGATATTCGAGGTAAAGAGATCGACTCATCTCAATGAATTGCAAGCCAAGGAGGAGGAGGTACGACAAATGTTCGTGCAACGTGTCAAAGCCAAAGAGGCAGAACTGAAGGATAACGAAAGGGAACTACATGCCCGTTTCGATAAACTGAAGAAGGAGCATGCCGAAGAGAAGCGAAGATTGGAGGAAACTCGTCAGAAGCTGGAAGAGGAATATATTGAATTCACCACCCATCGGAATCATTACAATTCCAGTAATCACACCATGACTCTGGGGAAAAGGGGAAAGAAGTAATTTCCTGGCGGAAAGGAAGTGTCATTTATTGTAGAATTTCTGAAATAAATCAAATCCGTACCAATTTGTTCAAAACATTTTGAGTTCTTTCTCCATCTAATTTTTAATAAAATTTTGAGTTTTTTAATTAACAAAGATCGAAATTATTTTTATAAAAATTTAGGTACAAAGGTACTCTTTAGTCTTCTGGGAGAAGATTTTCCGGTCTACTGGGAGTAGACTTTCTCGTTTCCTGGGAGTAGACTTTCTCGTTTCCTGGGAGAAGACTTTCTAGTCTTCTGGGAGAAGACCTTCTGGTCTTCTGTGAGAAGACCTTCCGGTCTTCGATGAGAAGACTTTCTGGTCTTCTGTGAGAAGACCTTCTGATCTTCTCTGAGAAGACCTTTAGGTCTTCTGTGAGAAGACCTTCTGGTCCTTTATGAGAAGACCTTCTGGGCTTCTGTGAGAAGACCTTCTGGTCTTCTGTGAGAAGACCTTCCGGTCTTCGATGAGAAGACTTTCTGGTCTTCTGTGAGAAGACCTTCTGGTCTTCTGTGAGAAGACCTTCTGGTCTTCTGTGAGAAGACATTCTGGTCCTTTATGAGAAGACCTTCTGGTCTTCTGTGAGAAGACCTTCTGCTCTTCTATGAGAACACCTACTGCTCTTCTATGAGAAGATCATCTGGTCTTCTATGAGAAGACCTTCGGGTCTTCTATGAGAAGACCTTCGGGTCTTCTATGAGAAGACCTTCGGGTCTTCTATGAGAAGACCTTCGGGTCTTCTATGAGAAGACCTTCGGGTCTTCTATGAGACGACCTTCGGGTCTTCTATGAGAAGACCTTCGGGTCTTCTATGAGAAGACCTTCGGGTCTTCTATGAGAAGACCTTCGGGTCTTCTATGAGAAGACCTTCTGGTCTTCTATGAGAAGACCTTTAATCTTCTATGAGAAGACAAGACCTTCTGGTGTTCTATGAGAAGACTTTCTGGTCTTCTACGAGAAGACCTTCTGGTCTTCTATGAGAAGACCTTCGGGTCTTCTATGAGAAGACCTTCTGGTCTTCTATGAGAAGACCTTTAATCTTCTATGAGAAGACCTTCGGGTCTTCTATGAGAAGACCTTCGGGTCTTCTATGAGAAGACCTTCGGGTCTTCTATGAGAAGACCTTCGGGTCTTCTATGAGAAGACCTTCTGGTCTTCTATGAGAAGACCTTTAATCTTCTATGAGAAGACAAGACCTTCTGGTCTTCTATGAGGAGACCTTCTGGTCTTCTATGAGAAGACCTTCTGGTCTTCTACGAGAAGACCTTCTGGTCTTCTATGAGAAGACCTTCTGGTCTTCTACGAGAAGACCTTCTGGTTTTCTATGAGAAGACCTTCTGGTCTTCAATGAGAAGACCTTCTGGTCTTCTAAGAGAAGACCTTCTGGTCTTCTATGAGAAGACCTTCTGGTCTTCTATGAGAAGACCTTCTGGTCTTCTATGAGAAGACCTTATGGTCTTCAATGAAAAGACCTACTGGTCTTCTATGGGAGGACCTACTGGTCTTCTATGAGAAGACCTACTGGTCTTCTATGAGGAGACGACACATACTTTTTTTAGCCAGCTCAGAAGCGAAATTTCTGCTATAGAAAATATAGTTTCTAATTACTGCCTATTTCTACACAAAGAAATCTGTTCTCAGTAAACTGATGACAATTTTTTTTACCCTCAGCCATATGACCAGGGAGGGTATCTACCATTTGATACAACCAAAAAGGTACCTAATCGAAATAACTGTTGTAGATTCTAGACTTCTAAGGACCAAAATCGTTTCAGAAGATTTGGAGTCGATCTAGCGATGTCCGTCCGTCTGTCTCTCTGGTTGGTGCGCACGATAACTCACTCCCCGATAATAATATCATTATTATATTATCATAATATTTGATAATATTATTATCAAAGTTTAATAGAGTTTGGGGATGGAATATGTCGGTCCAGTCCTTCTGGTACATCCCCACAAAAATTGAATATTTTCAAAGAAATAATTCAGTAAACAGAAAGAGAGGAGGTAATCCGATTCTGGTCCAACTTTGCAAATCCTAATATTTGCATCAGTGCTAGGTCAGGAGTGAAAAAGGAAAATATCGGTCCACTCCATTAAGTACCTCCCCCCACAAAGGGTCAACATTTTGAATATCCATGAAGCTCATAAAAGCGAAATTAACATCGGATTCCATTCAGCTTTGGCACATCTCAAGACTCCTATCAACAAAAGATCTGGTGTGAAGATGGCAGAGATCGGACAATTTCTTCTGATACTTCACCCGCAATGGTTGAAAGTTTTAAATAACCAAAACTATTATAAAATCCGAAATAAGCATACGATTCTCTTCATACCTCACACATCCCATTATTTCTACTAAAACAAGATCAGATGTGACGATGGGGTACATCGGTTCACTCCTTCTTGTACCTCCCTCACAAAAGTTCATAGGACGAGAAATTAACATCCGATCTCATATTTATTTTTCTCAACCAGAAAAAAATGTAAAAATAGTCTCACCTCATGGAATGAGATTTTTCAAATAAAAAAATCCATTAGCTCATTAAGGCTTGTTTTTTTCTTATAGGAAGCTTTCAGTCCTTTGCTCAATTAATTTAAATGTTTTAAGAAATGCATTCGTTATATTTCCTTCGAAGCCCATATCATTTGCTACAAAGAAAACATTTTCAAAAATATTCCCTCAACCAGAATTCCTTTTGATATCCTTGTATTGGCAAATTCCATTAAATTGGTAGGTTGGCATTCTTCTGCTGCACTCATTCATGTCTGGCAAATTATTAAATATTAAATGCTTCAATGGATGTGAATGTTAACAAATGTATTATTAAAATTGCAATTTTTATTAATCATCGAAGTGTGAATATATTTTAAAAGTAATTTTATCGGTCGTGGACGATAAGACATGCAAACGCTTTTGGGGGGGCAAGAGGGTCAATCTCTCATGGCATGACTGACCACAAAATTTTGCATCACATTTTGTAGGCCACAATTGGAATATGGAGATATCTCCTTAGTTGTTATTATGAATAATTAAATGAAGCGAGAGGGAAGAGATACAGAGAGATATCACATCCTCAGGTCATAACCTCAATCTTGGCTGCCTGTTTGGCCGGAAGTTGGTGCCAGAAATCAATTTGTTTATTGAGAATATCCATTCAAGCTGAAATTGATTAGATGTGAATGGGATTGGAAATAATTTTGAAGAAATTTGAAAATATTTAATGGTGTTGTGGTCGTGTAAGATGAAATGATTCTTTTAAATATTTTTAAATAAGTAAATCCGGAAACGGAAGCGATAGGAAAAAACAATATAATTTGTAAAGCATCAATTTTTATAGAAAAGAAACGACGGACACATAGACCTATATCAATGCAATTTTCCTTTGGTAAGTAATTTGGTATTACAGTTATGAGGTCATATTTCTGATATTGTTATATGAGGAAAAAATAATATTGCATGCACTGGAAAAAAAAGGATTTAACCTGTTCTAAGAATAGCTATGGAATAGAATCGATAACTTTGAAAAGATTTTAATGGCCTGTGTTTTTATACCCTACACCACAAGGTGGTCAGGATATTATATTTTTGTACATATGTTTGTAACAGGCAAAAGGAAACGAGATAGGCCCATAGTTCCTTTTGGTGATCAGCATAGAATCACATTATAAGTCGATTTCTGCATGTCCGTCTGTCCATTTAAATGAAATACAGGTAGCATTTATTATCCGATCCAGATGAAATTTTGCACAAGCCATTTGTTTGACCCAAGGACGAATCCTATTGAAATTGGAGATATTCGGTAAAAATTTGGATATAGCTCCCATATATATCTTTGTCCGATTTGCTTTCAATTGTGCACCAATTGTGTAATATCAGCCGAAATAGTATGGAATTCTGCGTATACGACCAAATTAAGCCTGGAAATAAGTATGCCAAATTTGATCAAAATCGGTTCAGATATAGCTATAGCTCCCATATATATTGTTCATCCGATTTGTTATTTTAGTCCTCCGCAGCCGCAGTATGCACTCTGAAACAACAATATTTGGGGAAAAATATATCAAACACAGCACAAAAATACCTTTCCCCAAATTTTTATACCCTCCGCCATATGGAGGGTATATTAACTTTGTCAGCGTAAAATTCTATGTCGATTGAGCGAAGTCCGTCTGTCTGCCTGGCAGTCCGTCTATCTGTCTGTCTGTAGTAATCACGCTATCATTCGAACGCATCAAGGTAGAAGGCTAAAATTGTGCATTCATGCGTATTTTGCCAGTAGGCAGGTTATGTTCGAAAATGGGCCATGTAGGTCCACGGTTTCTTATAGCCCCCATATAACGATACCTTCCGATATTCGGTATTTTGATGATTTTTAGCGACATTATTCACCGGAATTATTTCAAATTAGGTATTTGAAGATTGAAATGAATTCTACAGCCTATGCTGGTCCACATCTTCGTATAGCAACCATATGACGGTACCTCCCGATATTCGGTATTTTGATGATTTTAGCGACATTATTCATCGGAATTTTTTCAAATTTGATATTTGAAGCCTAAGACAAAAAATTGTCTGTGCTGGCCCACGTCTTCGTATTGCCCCCATATAACGATACCTCCCGATATTCGGTATTTTGATGACTTTAGCGACATTATTCGCAGGAATTGTTTCAAATTTGGTATTCGAAAATCGTAATGTATACTACAGCCTAAGACAGAAAATTGTTTGTGCTGGTCCACATCTTCGTATAGCACCCATATTACATTATTCACCGCAATTTTTTCAAATTTGGTATTTAAAGTCCCAAATGGATACTACAAATTTGGTATTTGAAGTTCCAATGGGATACTACAGCCTAAGACAGAAAATTGTATGTGCAGGCCTACGTCTTCTTATAGCCCCCACATAACGGTACCTTCCGATATTCGCTATTTTGATGATTTTAGCGACATTATTCACCGGAATCGTTTCAAATTTGGTATTTGAAGTTCCAAAGGGTTGCTACAGCCTAAGACAGAAAACTGTCTGTGCAGGTCCACGTCTTCGTGTAGCCCCCATATAACGGTATCTCCCGATATTCGGTATTTTAATGATTTTAGTGACATTATTC